TAATATTTTAAAGATTAAATGCTGTCCATTCAGACAAGTAAACTAAAGTCAAGTGCTTGCTAACGAAGGAACAGTAGAAAAGAATTAAAAGAAGATTTTTTTTTAACATGAAATAGAGAAAACAGTATCTTGTGTCTGATGTGGGCTGTTTTAAACCAGTGTCATCTTCATCTGCAAATGACAGGCACACTGTCACTGAGCTTCTTTGGTACAGGACAAATAGGATCTGCTCTCTCTAGAATGGCAGTGAATGGGTGGAGTCTATTCAAAGTTTTCCACTAAAAAAAAAAAAAAATAGAAAAAAATATACTCAGGATGAAGAAGCCTACTCTAAACTGTTTTGTAAATTGAACAAAAAAGTTTTTTGAAAAACAGCCTGTCCTTTTAGAGCCACACAAAAATATTTCAAAAAATTAAACTATAACAATCATTCAAAATGAATTTTGAGAAGAGCAACGTAAAAATTAATGTCGAAGATGCTATTTCCATTAAAGAAGTAAAATGAGAAGAAAAAACTTACTCCTACCAATGCAATAACATAATCTAAATATTGACCATATTTAAATGATGGAAACTCACAGGAAATAATCAAGTCCCTTCTCTTCTTTTCCATCCCACGTGGGAGATGCTAATAAATGCAGGTACCCAGGGAATTTTGTATATTACAGCCTTATTCCCCTGTCTGATTTCTTCCAGGGCAGGTGTGCCACGTGTTTGCTGCAAACGCATGCGTGTTGTTTCATTTACTCTACAGCAGGAGCAGAGTGAACAGCCGAAGGACTTTTCCCAGATGTTTTTTGGGAGCTCCTTTATCCCCTGCTCTAAACACAGAGCGTGTTCCGGCTGGCCGAGCTGGGCAGACACCCTGGGACTGAGCACAGAGGCGGAATGTTTAGTTAGCCAGAAGATTGTTTCCATCCTGTGATTCATTAGGTCCCTGTGGTACCCTCGACTTCCTTTATTTTGCACAATTACAAATTATATTAGTTTGTCTTATTTTGATAACCCCTCTAATTAATGTCCTGCACAGGAAGCTTTATTACTGTTTTAAAACAGGCTCGTAAAATGAGGACTTTTCCCGTTACTGGGGTGGCATAAGTGACAGTTACATATAACTTGGGATCATGAGGGAACAGTGCTGCACACTGTTTGTTTCTATCAGTGGGCAATTTCTGTTAATGAATGAGCTAGCTTCAAGTCTTTCTATTTTAGAAGGAATGTCAGAAATTCTACAATTACATATATAAAAGTTACAAGTCTGACCGTTCAAAAACTCCATAAACAAACCTGGAACTGTTTGATTCCAGAACAGCATAGAGGTCACATACATTAAAAGGACTAATCCAGTTTGTGAAGGAATAATGAGTGTGATTTGGTTTCAAACAAAGCTGTAGGAGTAGGCTGTAAAGAGCCAAGGAAGCTCTATCTTTGCTCCTGTTTAAATCTTCATTTTTTCTACCACACTCTCCCATTGCCATTTAGCTTTTCTCTGGATGGGCAAGTGAAGGTGACACTTGTCCCCCTTCTCCTCTCTTTTTAAAGTGCAATAAAACAGTTAAAAGCTGCAGGAATAAAGCTGGTAAGCAAAGAAAGCACACTATGTTCATCCAGAAAACATGCAATCTTTTGAAAACATAAAATTCATTATGATGGTGATTAAGTACTTTGCATTTCCTATCATTACACATGTCCTTATGCTTATCTCTGTATTTTCACCATTGCTCCTCCTAGTTGTGGCAAATGACTGCCCAATCTTTATTTAAGTCCCTACCATAAAAGCAATTTAACCCACAGGGAGGATTTACTGTTACTCAAGTTACTCAGGACTTCCTCTGCATCTCACTGTAAGTGTTCTACCTATGAATTACTACCACAATTTAAGACAATCTACACATTACAGTATACATTATTCACCTCCTGACCTGTGTTCTCTGCTTTGGTTGAGCCTAAAGGACTAAAGTTCAGATCTAGTGCCAAATAATCAAATTCTGTGAAAGCAAATGTCTGTACTACTACTATCACCATACTCTGCACGCCTAGAGAGCAAACTGCTGGTAGTTCATTCTGATAATAAATGGCCAGTTGATCCAGCCTCAGCACGAGGAAGGTAACTCCTTATCAGCCTTTTTGATTGAAGTAGTACAACATGACATTAATGTTTATTAGACTTTGAGCATGACATCTGAAGTATGAACATGGAGCCACAGCCCTATCAAGAGAAGACATTAAGAAATCTTTAGTTTTTACCATTAGTCTAATAATACTGTATTTTCCTACGATCCAGCCCAGCACGACAGAAATTCTGGGTGGAGATGTTCAAGGTGAGGAGAGACTTTCCCTCTTTCTTTAAACATTACATGAAATAATTTCCAGATGCTTTTACATCTGTGTATGTGCAAGACTTCAGCTATCTTGATGCCAAACCTCTCAATGGTAGTTTAATAACCAAGAAAAAATCCTATTCCATCTCTCTTACTTACAGCCTCTGTTTCTTGACAAAGTGCTGAATATTATTGATTTGTCCTAAAACAGAAACTTTGAGTTGTCTTTGGAAGGGTCTGAACAGATATTAACAGATTATTATAAAAAATGATGCTTCAAAATCTTACTGCACATGCAAATTGTACTGGATATGATGAAAGAATGAATTAAAGGAGGCCTTGTTCTACTCCAAATGGTAAGTAATTTAAAGGCTTGTCCCCTTCTGATTAACTCCTTTTACATTCCCTGTTGAACATTTTTGTAGACAAAATTTTCCTTGTAACTGACATTATTACTTGTGCTTAACCATAAAGAACAATATAGCCTTGATTGGAATCTCTAGTTTTTGCACACATAAACAAATGCAGTTTTAGAGGTTATATGAAGGCTTTTATAAATATGTATAAATCAATTATTAAAACACTATCAGTCAACAGTGAATTTGATTTCAATATAAAACTTGAATTCATTGTGCTCTTCAAACAGATGACGATCCAACAAAAAATTGACACAACTTTCTCATTCTAGGGTGGGATTTTATGGCTTTATATTTCTTGATATACAAATAACAGAACATTTAACAAAACATTACTTTATATGCAAAAAAAAAAAAATTTCAAACTCACACTAGCATTCTGACAGAAATTGGATGGAATTTATCTTTGAAATTCCATGCTTACATCCTAGATATTCAAACATCAACAAGCCACCAAAGGATTCATTTATTTGTCAGCTGAGGGAATAAATTCTTCAAGAGATTCATCTCATCCACCTTGGAAACTAATTTTAGGATGATATGAATCATGCTCTGGAGATGTTCATTTTCATTGTCACATTGGTATGTAGTTTTAGCAAAGTTTAGCTTAATGTAAAGCAGTGTGCATATTGTTCAAAACACACCAAAAAATGGATCATAAAATGCGATACAGAGTTTGAAGTCTGCTTTTCAACAATTTGACTTGTTAGCGCCGTCATCTGCAACAGCAGCTGGACCTCATGAAGCATATGGTGGTTTGAAGCAGTGACCATGTAAATCTGTCCAAACCAGACCCTGATTTAACAGGGTTCAGATTAACTCTGAAAATAGGAAGCTGGAACTATAAACATGCAAGAAATCAAAAGTCAGCCAATCAAAGCTAATCATGCTGGCAACTTATCTTTTAATTCAGAAGTTCAAAACTTGACTTAATGAACAAGAACAAGCTCTTCTTACAAATGTTTGCTATGAAAGATGTATGTAACATGCCAGGTTTATTGCAGGCATAAAAGTAATTTCTATAGTTTAGTCTTATATATATCTTACGGATGGCAAAATGGATGTGAATTTTGAGGAGAAATCATTAAATTACACAATGAGAACTGTGTAGCCCATTAACAGTAGTAAAATAAGAAAACCCAGGTAGTGAGCAATAAATTTACATCTGCAGTCAGCGATAATTATACAAATAGCTTTTTTCAAGTACTGGATATATACCGACATGAACACCTACATTTAAGGTGAAAATTTAATAGAACTGCATAGTAGCAGCTCAATAAGGATGTGCAGTTATTAAACATGACAAATGTGCAAAAATCCCTATCAGAAGTCAGGAGCATGTAAAAAAGCTCCTGATTTAAGAGTTCTGACATGTGAATGTCAGAGGTCAAAGCAATGAGCTATTAAAGATACTTTCACTTCCTCAGAAATAAAGTGCTGTCTTGGGCTCAGAGGGGAAAGGTTAGAAAAGCTGTTTATCTGCTGCTCTGTTCCCATTCTTCCTTCTGTCAGGAAACCATACATGCTCCTACGCCCCACGTGGGGTTAACCCTGGGTCACGGCCATTCCCCAAGTAAGTGCCAGGCTTTGATTTCAGCACACAGACCACAGGGCTGCAGGTTGAGCCTTCTCCAAACGCAGGTTTTGATGTAAAGCTCAGCTCAGCTAAGTCTTGGTGAGATGTAAAAGCACAGACTCTTCACTGAGTTATCACTAAAGGAAGAGCAAAGCCACAGCCAATGGTTTGAATAAATTAAGGGGGTCCTTAACAAAAAGAAAACATTATTTTGTAGTAGTTAGAGCTAGAATAAGAATTACATGCCTGGAGCAGCATGTTTAACCAGTGGGAAACCTGTGGAGAGAGGAAAGAGGTTGTCCCCTCCCCAGGAGCCACAGGGCATGGTTGGGACAGACAGAAAGGAGCATAATAAGTAAAGAAACAACATCACAAAACCACCAGGAGACTGCAGAGACAGGGAGACACCACTGGGTTTTGGAGGTGTGAGTGGAAAGGAGCTATCAGGAGCTGGAAGGGCCCCTAGAGCGTTTGCTCCTACCCAGGAAGCCACCGAAGGATTGCTGTATGAAGTGCAGAGCTGAAGGAAAGCACCTGTCTGCAAAGAGTGGGCAGGAGGAGGTTTATTTATATTACATTTTAATGAAAAATATTATATATATATTAGATACAAATATTGTATCTGAAGATGTCATGTCATTTCAAGGTGTTTTAGAGTGAAGAGTATTTTCTAGGTTATTTTCTTACCAAATTTATCAGCTGAGTGTGGACGACGTCTTCCACCAGTACTGCAGTTTCATGGAGTGGCCTGCGAGCATCTCCTAAGGAAAACCTGAAAGAAAGAGGTTTATTGCAAGGTTATGAAAATCAGTTCAAAAGAAGCAAAGCAGGTGGTCTCCAGAAAAATAAGAAGAAAGAAAAATAATAAGAAAAAAAAATATGGATATCAACAATCATTGCTCCTGTATGAATAACAACAAACACACCTATATGTACTGAAATGGATCAGTCCACGGGGTGCAGGGAATATAAATCAAAGTTATCTGATTAAAGGAATAAAAGATCTGCATGAATGTGTACTAAAGCACCTGGTGAGAAAAATTGAAAGACTGAGGAAACAGAGGAAAATCCAGCCTGTAGGAACATTTGAAAAATGAGTAGGCAGAGCTGTAACGTGCACTACTAGGAGTAATTCTGTATTTTCAGTTCCTTTTTCTAACAAAATTACCAACCATCTATTTTAAAATGTAAAATGCTATTGGGTGTTCTATCCCAAATCTCAAAGCTAGTGCTAAGATACGGAAGGAACTACTATGAATTAAAAGCAAACATTTTTCTACAAAATAATACATGAAAGGCTCTTAAAGTCTGCGCTGCAAGATTAAATGACAGGAAGTCATAAAGAGAAGATAGTGCTCATTTAATACCCCAAACAAAAGGCAAAGCCACTCCAACAGGCATCATTAAATGAGAAATCATGACGACAGGCTTTCTACAAGGCTTTATCTTCTCTAATACCACAAGTTGATCTCTACATCTGCCTTTAGTCACCCAGCTAAAGCTGGGATTGCTCCTTTGATCTGGGATGGGCAGTGGCCACCACTGGCCTATTAAAAGAGACTGCTAGGTGCTGCAGACAATACGAACACTAGACCTTCAGTTTGTAGCACCTCTGACCCACTGCAGAGCCTGAGCATATCCCACACCATGCCCAAAAAGACCTATGAAATTATTCATCTGAAATTGGGATGGTGGGCTTCAGTTCCAGATCCAGGCAGAGTACAGGGGCATGCAATTTGAAACATCTAAGAGTTCTGAGTGGGGCAGACAGATGTAGTATTTGTTGGTAGCTGCACTCTTTCAGAGAGGCCACTGAAGACCCAGTGAAGGTCTTTTAGTGTCCAAAAGGACTGCTGGTTGCAACCAAACCCCAGCCCCCATCAGTCCAGCTCAGTAAGTCAAGAGAGTTTAAGCCCACCCTAAGCCCCACCTTCACCTGACTAGATGAAGTGTGGAGTGGTTTCTATGTGGCTTCCCTCATCACCTAAGGCACAGAAAGATGCTATATGTGTTAGTAGACTACTGTTTATTCTTTGCTTCATTTTCAGCTCAGTCCCACAGGGCAGAAACAGAACTGTAAGATTCTAGCTATGGCTGCTTGTTACACACACATATCAAAACCCTTCACAAACTTCATTGTGCTACACACAACTTTGAAACAATTTCTTAATGTAGCAACCAAAGTACCTATTCAAGAAAGATGCTCTAAGCAAGTAACCCTGGCTTTGCCTATTTATTCAGTCATTTTGGTCATTAGGATTCAAGAATACCAAAATCTTTCACCTGCTTTTATCTCAGTTGTTTTACTGACACAAAAAAGACAGACACCTTTATTTCCATGTTATGATGAACAGTATCAAGAACTGGCTCAAACATTGTCAGAGTATACATAGAATTTTGTCCTGCTACTTATGCATGAAGGACCAGAGAAACATGACTGTGATGGGACAAAGTATTGCTAAGAGAGCTTTGGAAAAATACAGTACTCCTCCTATCACATCAATTGTCTCATATATCCACAACTCTCCCTCTGTGGCAGCAAAACCTGTTGGTTTCCAAGAACTGTGGCAAAGAAAAATTAGCCAGTCATGGATAAATTACTCCAAGAAATTTGTTCAGTTGACTTCCTATGTCACCTATATGTAGTGCAAGGCTGGTGGAGAGCTATGGTCTATGACTGAATCTCTCAGTCAGAACAAACTCACTCAGGTCTGCTATCTGGTACCTGTACTTCAGCATTCTAAAACAGGCACAATATTTTGGAAAAAAAGTTATCCAACAGATGAAGTCACCTGAAAGCAAAGGAATTCATGAAATCAAAATCAATAGCCATTCCAAATGTTTACTGGTTGCTCTGCTTTTGGTCCCTCTGTGTCTGACCTTTGGCTAAAGTATTTTGTAAATTTAAAGCTGGTAATTAGGCTCAAATTGTTCTCAAAATGGTATCAATGGGGCCCCACTTTGGGTCACTGGAAATAGTTGATTGTTACATGCATATCAAAATTTAAAAAAACAAAACAACCCACTATTCCAGTCTTATATCATCAGAGTGAAAGAACTTGTTAGGCTTCCAAATATTTCCTCCAAGCATTTCTAAAAAACTGTTCTCTTTCCTCCAAAACCTGAGATTTTAAAATAAGAAAACTTGCATGTAAAATATATTCATTGTAAATTAAGTAATTTACAGACCAAAAATAACACTACAGTTTCTTATAGAAATAGTGAAATTTTATTTATAAGCAAGATTTAAATCTACATAGGTGATTG